AGAGTTACATGTGGCTTTGTGGCTTTTGTGTTTGGAGACATTTACTTAATATAAAGCTTTAAAATTATCAAGACAGGCCAGACGTGGTGACTCACATCTGTAATCCTAGGACTTTGGGAGAATGAAGTGGGAGGATCACTTGAGTTCAAGACCACTCTGAGTGACATAGCAAGACCCCTGTCGCTATATACTTACACAAATATATATATAAAATAAAAGTATCAGGATAGTCGACTCTCTCTCCATGTATAAAAGTGATTCTCCATTTCCTCCTCTTTTGCTTTTGGAGTTAACACATTTTCGAGTCTCTATGATGCTTAAGGAAAGCCTAGGCTGCCAGCACTGCTCAGGGAAATGAGTGTCAAGGTATAAACTCTCTTCCTTCTCTCCACACCTAGTTCCCTTAATCACTTTGTCTTTTTTAGTTTCTGACATTACACGTTACTCTTTACTTGCTTATAATATAGATGGCATTTTAATTAAATTATAATATCATTCCAAAGTTCTAGATTTTAAACAAGCAATTTTTAAAAACTTTTGGAATGTTACCTTTTTGTAAAGTGAACCCTTTCCCCCTTCACAAGATTGTTATAATTATTTCAGAACCAAGACTTCGTAGAACCCAAGTTGAAAAAAAAACATACCATGGAACAAGTCATAGAATTGTAGTAGGTGCTACCATCCAAGAACTTACTATATGGCAAATACTGTCCAAAGAGCTCACTGTACATTAGCTCACCAAATTGTCAACACAACTCAGCGGAGAGAGCCTTATAATTATCTTCTATATTTTTAGATGAGAAGATAGCAGACCATACAAATATTGGTCAACTACTCATTTCTAGAGCCTTTTTAGTGGAGGGCATTGTGCTAGTTACTAAGTCTAAAAAAGCAAAGACATGGTCCTTGCCCTTAATGTACTTGAGCATCTAGTAAGGGCACAGGATGGCAACCAGGTACCCAAATGAGGTTATCAGTGCATGTACTTTAAGCATTCACAGGAGGCAAGGCCACTTTGGGCCTTGGTACTTGAACAAGCTCCTTCTTAGAACCCTTGGCATTTGAACTAGACATTGAAAGGATTTGAGATGAAATACTTCAGGAAAAAAGGCTGAATATTTGAAGCAGAGGGAGTATTTTTGGCAATTTTATGAAATATTCGTTAGAATATTTGTGTTGAGTAGAAAAGTTAAATTAGGAGGTCTCTAACTGGCATTCTCAGGGCCCAGGCAAATAGTGCTGTTGACAGTGGTATGGAAACAGTATTGAAATGTAATTTCCCCCCACGTACTATGTTGGTATCAGTGGACTCCAGGAGCTAAAGTTAGAGGAAAAGAGTACAGCCTAGTAAACAACCTTTATTGAGAATTTGCTATTTAAGCCTCACAACAACCTTCTTAGGTAATTTATAGATACAGGAACTAAGTAAGCCATAGAGAGATTGAGTAACTCAGCAAGAGGCAGAGCCAGGATCCTAGGCAGTCTGTGTCCACAGCCCTCCACACTCGGTGCTGCCATGAATCTAAAATCTTTCATCAAGGAAAATTTCTCAGTGGTGCCATCAAACTTACCATCTCAAAACTTGCCATTTCTATACTGAACATTATAATGCCACAGACACATGTGGTCCACACACACACACACCCCTTTACTGTAGATTGTCAAGAAGAAGGAAGAAAGAAAGGGGCATTCTTCTCACCATTTTAATACCTATTTGTAAAAACACATGACTGTATTTGATCCGTAAGCATTAGGAACCACCTGTATGAGAAAGGCTGGGCCACGTGAATGAGCTGTTCCTAAGATTTTAAGATTGACTGTGACAGTCGTGTAGAATGACTGAGTAGAAAGGTAGATGGAGCTACATGGGGAAAGAAGATTGGTCAAGGCTGTTGTGAAAGGTGATATTGATGAAGACCTATAATCCTGATTGAGGAGAGAAGTATTTGGGCAGAAGGTAGAAGCAGAAGTATTGATTCTAGAGGAGTTTTGAAAGTAAATGAAATGTGAACATAGTTCTGAATCTGGCTAATTGGCATGACAAGTTACAGGAGGCAAAGACATCTTATTTACCTCCATGTGAGAGAAAGAAAAGGGTGAGTGGCATTGAGGTAAGGCAACTAAAACAAGGATTATGGTCACAGTTGGCGGGCAGAAATGAATGGCCTCTGAGGTCTGCAGATAGAGAGTGCTCTAAAATATTAAACTAGCTTGTACTGTCTAGTCAAGGAAAAGTTTCATCTCTCATGAAGTAATATAGACGAAAGATTGCTTGGTTTTTTTGATGCAAGTGAGTTAACAGGTGAGACATATTAACATCTTATGGAATGTATCATAGTCTATCAGCGATGGAATAGCGTCTTTTTTGGATGCTTGATCGGACAGCCCACCTTTCAGCATGTAAATTCCCACTGTAGCATACAAGGCAAGTGGTCAGCCAGCCCTTTCTCAAATGGTGAATAAATCACCTCTTGATAGCTAAGTCACAAAGCTTTTCCCATGGGCTTCTGACTACTGGCCCAGTTCTTTTTTTTTGAGATGGAGTTTCATTCTTGTTGCCCAGGCTGGAATGCAGTGGCATGATCTCAGCTCACTGCAACCTCTGCCTCCCAGGTTTAAGCAATTCTCCTACCTCAGCCTCCCAAGTAGCTGGGATTACAGGCATGCACCATCATGCCCAGCTAATTTTTGTATGTGTAGTAGAGATGGGGTTTCACCATGTTGGTTAGGCTGGTCTCAAACTCCTGACCTCAGGTGATCCACCCGCCTCGGCCTCCCAAAGTGCTGGGATTATAGGTGTGAGTCACTGTACCCAGCCCCCAGTTTTCTTTGGAGCCAAGCAGGTCTGGCCTAGTCTGTCTTCAAATACAGCTCCACTGAAGCTTTCTTCAATGAGCCTTTCATTTGCACTTTCTCTACCCCCTATGAACAATATACAGCACTCCTGAAGGGCTCTCCTTTCAACTTTGAATCTAAGCCTGTTGATGTAGGCATTTTCTTTTATAAAGTAGCTGTCATTAAGTGCTGATTATTTTATAATTCAGTTATGAAACCAAATTGAAGCCTGGTTCTTACCCTAAAGTAAATCACAGAGTAACGGAGACTGAGAAGCATTTGCAGAAAACTTGAAGAATCATTTTTTAAAAAGCAAATATAACCTAACCCGTTCAGTGGAAAGGGTAAATGTGGGGGAATTGCTTCATATCTTTATTACTGCTATGGAGGTAAAATGTAAAGCGTGAAATGTGCATGTCTTAAATGTACAATCTGATTATTCTGACATAGGTAAGCATCATGTAATCCACACCTGAATCTAGAGTGTGTCACCCAGAAAATTTCCTTAGGCTCCCTTCTCATTGTTTCCTATCAACTGTTCTGATTTCTATCAGCACAGATTAGTTTTGTCTGCATCATATGGTTCTGTAAGTAATCAAAGTCCTCATCAAAAGTTTCTCACCAAAGGTAACATGGTTCAGAAGAAAGTAACATTTAGAGACTCCACACCAACAAGCCGTGTGCCCTTGGGCAAAATACCAAACTTCTCGGCCTCATATAAAGAATTGGATTAAGTGATCCTCAAGGTCCCTTACAGGCCCGACACTCCACCTACATTTCTAATCTCTATGGGCCCACCATCTACTCGGTACCCTGAGCCAGAAACAAACCTAGATTCACTCCTCCCTGCTCCCCCTCCCCATTCTCCCACATCCAGTTGACCACTGTACAGCATCACATCAGTTCTTCCTCGTAACTTTTTTGGACATGTCTTTTTTGGCCCCTACCTCCTCTCCATTTCTTGCCTGCTGTACTGTAACAGCCATCAAACTACTCTATCTCTTTTGCCTCTGGGCCTCTAACCCATTCTGGTCACTGCCCCCAGAGAGTAATCTTTGCTAAAATGAAACATATGGGTCCCTTCTGTCTGAAATCCTTAAGTAGTTCTCCACCATTTAAAATGCTTCTCTGCTACCTACAGAATTGAGTTTAAATTCTGAAGAATGATAACATGAGGGCCTGGAACACATGGCTGCTGCCTGCGTTTAGTGTTCCCATCCCCACTGTGCTTTTCTGCCGAAACATTTGCTCTGCCACTACCCCACCTCATTCCTCTCCTTTACTAACCCCTTATGTGTTCCCATAAGGTCTATTTAGGCCTTTATGCATGCCTGCTTCCCCAGTTATGTTGAGAACATCTTGAGTGTGGTTTAGGACCATGTCTTACTTCACTGTCTATCTCCAGTGTCTAGCAATCTGGCCTGTGACTGCTGAAAACACATAAGTGAAAACACTTAACACCCCCTAAGTTAAATTCAGGATGACAGGATACAGGATCAGGATCTTACTTGGAGTTCAGGTTTATTTATCTATTTATTTAAAGACTGAGTCTCACTATATTGCCCAGGCTGAACCCCTGGGCAATAGTGATTCTCCCACCTCAGCCTCCTGAGTACCTGGGCTACAGGTGTGTGCCCCTGTGGCTCAAGCTGATGTTTTTAAAAATAAAAAAGTATATGGAACTTTTCACGTTTCTCACCACCTAAGCCTGATTTTAAGTTTTTCTTTTCAGTAGCTATCATGGTAACATTGGGTTAAAGGTGAGAAAGTCTACTTTTGTTTGGAGAGATGGGTATATTAACAGGAGGTATCAAAACTGAATTCTGTTGGTGTTTAAGGAGCTAGCCCTGTAATGTTTAATTCCCATCTCAAATTTGAGTTAATGTGCTTAATGGTTTTAGAATGGCAGATTACTGTTTCTGCAAATGAAGATATTTTCTTTCTAAAGATTGTTGTGGTAATTAGCAAGCAGGAAATAAAACTAAAGATGACTGATAAATATTGACCCAGGTGTCCAGGAACACCAGTATCTCTAACCTTTGTTTGTTCATTGTGGTTCACATTGTCCTGATTTTTCAGTTTTTGGTGCTGCCCTGCAGTGTGAATCAGCATTATCACCCAAATTGAGCACTGCTTAATCTATGTTTTTATCTTTTCAAACCCAGGTAAGAACCTTGATGCTATACATGATATCACTGTGGCGTATCCTCACAACATTCCTCAATCAGAGAAGCACCTCCTCCAAGGAGACTTTCCCAGGGAAATCCACTTTCACGTCCACCGGTATCCAATAGACACCCTCCCCACATCCAAGGAGGACCTTCAACTGTGGTGCCACAAACGGTGGGAAGAGAAAGAAGAGAGGCTGCGTTCCTTCTATCAAGGGGAGAAGAATTTTTATTTTACCGGACAGAGTGTCATTCCACCTTGCAAGTCTGAACTCAGGGTCTTTGTGGTCAAATTGCTCTCTATACTATATTGGACCCTGTTCAGCCCTGCAATGTGCCTACTCATATATTTGTACGGTCTTGTTCGGTGGTATTTTATAATCACCATTGTAATCTTTGTGCTGCAAGAGAGAATATTTGGTGGACTGGAGATCATAGAACTTGCATGTTACCGACTTTTACACAAACAGCCACATTTAAATTCAAAGAAAAATGAGTAAGATTATAAGGTTTACCTTGTAAAAACCTAGGGCATATTTTGGAAATGTTCTAAACCTTTGTAAGCTCAGATGCATTTTTGCATGACTATGTCGAATATTTCTTACTGCCATCATTATTTGTTAAAGATATTTTGCACTTAGTTTTGTGGGAAAAATATTGCTACAATTTTTTTTTTTTAATCTCTGAATGTAATTTCGATACTGTGTACATAGCAGGGAGTGATCGGGGTGAAATAACTTGGGCCAGAATATTACTAAACAACCATCAGGCTTTTAGCAGACAAGGAACACACACATTTTTCTTAAAGGCCCAATCCTAACAGACTCCCCATACCAGAGGCAGATCTGGAACTTGTCAACAATGGCCCGGATCACATGCTGTTACCGGACTGCCCAGGTCACCTCACTGAGGTGAGCGCTGTTCCTCCAGGTACTAAGGCAGGTGGTGCCCAGGCTCCCTCCCTTGGCACACTTCTTCCTGCGCCAAACCCATCTCATCCTTAAGATCAGAAAACGGAACCCCCTTGTCGTGAAACTGATCAAGCGTTTTGACAGGAAGCCCTTCATTATTCATAACATCGTGTGCTGACCAAGATGTCAGAAAACCACCTGTGCCCTTTTCTCTCATGGAAGCTAAAACCTGGACTCAGGGAGCAACCACAGGCTCTCCACTTTGAAACTTTAGTTTGAATTTTAAAAGATAGGAAGTCATACAGTTTAAGTTCCTTTCTCACACTCAGTATTGCATGCTTAGTGCTGGTTTCCTTACAACATTTTGGCAGGTGTAGCTTTTTTTGTTAAAAATGGTATACATGAAGTCACATACTTTAAAGGAACACTTAGAACATTCTGTTATTCCAGTCTGAAACCGTCTTTTGAAATATTTCTTTACAACCTACCAAAAAAGGAAAGTTGTTTTTTCTACATTTGTGTGGGTATCTAACATCTACCATTAAAACAACAAATGGCTTGCAGACAGGGCGGTAATGGTTTATCCTAAATTATTCAACCCCTTGTAGCCTTGACAAATTTTACCTTGAAACCAAAATGAAAACACAAAAATTAATCCTTTATAATGATAGCAAGTGACCTTTCTTTTTAGTTTTAGCCTTCCTTTTTCAATAGTAATATTTAAACCCCCTTTTGACCAGTTGTTTGCCCAAATATTCTTGTCATTTGGAGTCAGTGGAAAATCCAGCACACCAAGCACCAGTCTCCTTCTGAGGCAAAAGAAAAGTGTTGTTGTCATTTTCACTCTGTTGGAGCTGCACACTTTTTTGTTTTGTTTTGTTTTTTGTTTTTTGTTTTTGTCAAGTAAGAGGGATGCTGGTCAGAGCTGCAGAAAATATGAGGCAATTAAAAGTCTTTAGCTGTTAGCAAACCTGTCAGTTTTACTTCTGCACTGAACCAGCCTCAGAAACTACTTACTGCTTTATGTACTCTTTGGGCATGAATGCCTTCTCTTTAATTACATCTCATTTTTGCTTGACAGTGACCTACCCAATAATTGCATCATCCATTGCCATGAAAGGTAAACACATTGTGAACTGAACTTGCCAAGCAGATTCTGTGAGAAAGCACTGGTCGAGGCTGAACACTGTTAGACACATCATTTTTATTGGAAGAGTATTAACTGGTGCCTCTTCTGAAACACACCAACCCATATTCCGCAGCTCCCCCAAAGCTGTTTCTGATCGTGCTGGGAGCAGCTAGTTATTATGCACATCTGCTCCAGACCCAGCTCTTTAACTTCATGGTTTTATGGCTTGTTTTCTTTCTTTTTTTTTTTTTAAAGCACCTTTTTTGGTTGTTTCCCCTTAATAAAAGAGGTTTCTAATTCGTGTTTCTCTAAGATTTCCTTTGGTTGTATTTAGGAACACAAGTAGTTTTATAATCAGGATTGCATTTGTGCTGGGTAAGAGGAGAGCTGTGCTTTCTACCCCAAAGTTGGTAATGGAGCCCGTCTGCCCTTCCTACAAACTTAAGAGGCTCATTGTTCAAGGTGTAACAACATTTCATTGCATGCCCTCTAATGCTTTGAAACCTTTAGAAGGGAAAATCTCGTTTTTTACAATTTTGTTCCTTTTCATCATAGAAAACGTGTTTAAGATGAAATACAAACTTGACCTACCCCAAATTCATAAAGTACATTTAATGCTGTATAGCACTAAAACTTAGGGATATAGACACTGTACTTGCTTTTTAAGAATTAGAGATAGTAACTCCAAAAATAATTGTCCTTTTTCTTTTTTTTTTTGCAATAAGGCTCTTGAAAATTGTCATTATTTGTGTTTTCCTATACATTCATCTGTGTGAAAGTCTTTTTCTTCTTTGATTTAAAAAAATTAAAGAACTATACAATTAATGGTTTAGAACTTAGAACTACTTAGAATACTAAAGTGTCAGGAAGAAATTAATTTAGCTTCAGTAATTGTGACTGGCCTCAGGAATTCTCCCTTCCACACCTGCCCACCTCACCACACCAGAGCCAGAGCAGCTGCTTGTCTGCAGCAGGACAAGTTCCTACGTACGCACTTTCAGTTCTTTCATGGTAAGCTCAATGGACTTTGAATTGTTTACAGTGCTATATGTCCAATTGTTAAATGTACCATTGTGGTTTATTTATGACATGAACCATGCTACTTAAAATATGAACTCACAAGGAAGGGCACTCATTAGGTAACAAGTTCTTATACCAAACTTCCTTGATGAAATAAGCCAAAATAATCCTAAAGTTCATTAGAAGAACTTGATAAAAGATGCAAATAAGTGTTAAAAAAGAGCCTGTAATTTTAGGACTCCTATAAAATCCTTGTTTGTTAATGCTATTAAAACTCAGATTCAAGGGAAATCACAGCTTCCGCTTGAGTCACTTTGAAATTACTTAATTCAACAGCACCATGTTAGAAATCATATATTGGCAGCCAAGACTCTGAACTCTGCAGAAACATTTGTTTCACCCAGACTTCAAACTCTAGCCCTGACTATGATGCCCCTGTGTGCATTTACAATAAAGACTCCAACGGAGGGAGCCTGTTGGTGTTAAATTGTTTACATTTCTTTATACAAATAATGTGCTTTCAGTGCCTTAGTTACAGCTCCCTTTCTTTTTCTTGTTCCAAGGATTCTGTAGTATGTAGTCTGTTTCTTAGGTAAAAGTCTCTCTTTGCTACTGAAAGGGAAATGGTCTCTCAACACTGGTCACTGTAGCACGTAAACACTACTCTAAGGTGGAGAAGTGAGCTTCATGCTGAGGTAGTGGTTGCCTTAGAGCTGTTATTTATGCTGTAGAAAACGAAAATGGTTTTGCTACCTGATAAGCTTCAGATTAGTTATAGCCCTGAAGTTATCCTGTACCTACATTAAATTTTCATTTCAGAAGAGAATCTTGGTTTTGGTAATTCATTTTTTTTTTAAAATCATTATGTGCAAAACACCAAGTTTTTAAAATAACTCACAGAAAGGCCTTAGTTTTCAATGTCTGATGGTGTATTTGAGTTGTGTTATCTGTAATATACATCCCAGAATAAAGGAGTGAATTAAATAGTTTGCATGTGTGTTACGTTCTGTTTTTGCAGGAACGACAAGTAACTGCAGGTGAAGGTGCTACTTCCCCCCGCCCCCCGCCGCCCCACCCCCCACCCCCGCAATGCCTTGCATTGCAGTGTCTAGTGTTAAAGAAAAAGCTGGCCAGTTAGGTCTCTTTTTTTTTTCCCACAGATGTCAAGAAAAGTGGCCTAATCAAGAAAATAATGTACTACCCCCACAACTGAAAAAGTCCAGGCACCACAATTGAATTCAGGACTCAACGAATGTCATCAGAACTTGCTTTTCCTCCATCTCTTAGCACAGCCTTGCTATTGAGAACAATTTGGTTGTTCCACAAATGTGGGATCTTACATAAATATCAGCATCACCAACTCTTAGCTAAGATAAATGGGACTCTGTGCCCCGCTCCCTGACCTCACGTTGGGGAGTATATAACTACCTTGGACCCAAAGCTGACAAATGTATAAAAATGTGTTTAGCAAACAAACACATGAGAATCCTGGAGTCTCTTGTAATGGGGCCTTCTGCAATGGCCCACTCTGTCTTCTCAAGTGAGCACCTTGTGTGATAGATTCATGTGGAGGGGAGTCCACAGCGTTATTCCCTGGGAAAGGGGAATGCAGGACCAGAAGAGCACAGGCCCGGCCCCAAGAGCACCAGTGCTTGTGGGACTCCTGTCCTCCGTTTAAGCAAAAGGAAGAGGAGGGCTTTGTTTCTCACCACCTACTTACCTTCAGCATTATTCTTTTCACTGATAAATTATAGAAAAGGCTTAAGCAACCCTCTCTGGAGGGTGGATTTCTAGTGAGGGCTTCAAATTCCGGCTAGTACGTCCTGGAATGGACGTAAGATACTAATCCACACATATACAGTGCACTCTTCATACTCAAATATTTTTAAATTACTAAAGAGACAACTTGTGTTGTCCTTGGGTTGATCTGCAGGATCCATGTGGGGTGGCGTGATGCCTGCAGCCACTTCAGCCCTGCATCCTCTCAGGTTCAAGTCCAGTGGGAAAGAACAAGAGAGACTGCTGCCCCTGTGGCTCAACAACAACCCCGTATTGGGTTTCAGTGCCCATTCCTGAACCAATCAATTGCCCAGACACATGATGTGTGTTACAGCCCTGGGTTACTTGCAGAGCCTGTTGAGTAACCTGGACTGCATGGATGGGGGAGGGATGAATTTTAAAACAAAAATTAAACACTTGTTATCAAGAACAGGATAAACTGACACTGGTTGGCCAAATGACCACGAATGTCCACCACAACTAGCAAACTTCCCAACCTCCCAGTGGAGGGAGGCTGGAGCAAATGAATGTGATTTCCTGTGCAGTGAGAGACATCAAGAGGCTGGGCAGCCTTATCCATCCACACCAGGGGATATCTGGGAACCTAAGGGTTCTCCATAGCTGTGTCTGGACAATCTCATCAACAATTAGTCCATCTGAATTATTCAGTCATTGCCTCCACACAGATCAGTATTGAGAGCATTTCCTTATGGGAAGTTTCTTGAAGTGTAAATACTACAGCTCTAACGGCTCTCCCTGTTGGCAGAGGCAGTTCACATTCTCCCAATGCTGCAGGTTCAGAATCTTGCAGTGTCCCTCCTTCCTTGACACTCAAGCTGTCACTACCAGCCACATCTTCCTCTTCAGGGCCGTCCTTACTTCTGTTCTGCACACCACAACTATTGCATCAGACCTGGGCAGGTCTGGCAACATCCCATCAGTTTCCTGCTCCCACATTCTCCCCACACCAGTCTTGGTGCACTAGACTTGTTCCTTGATCATACTGCGACACCAGTTGTATCATGGAGCAGTGTAACTCAGTGCTTCCTTCCAACTGCTGGACAGTCCAGACTCCTCTGCCTCCCCTGGGTCCTCTAGCCCAGCCTTAACCTTGTTCCCAGGCATTTTCTCCTGCGCAAACCTTTTCATACCAGCGCAACTGGTTGCCCAAACCTCCTCATGTCCCCTCTCCCTTTCCCAACTTTGCACATATTTCTCATTTGTGAAAGGTGCTTGCTTAACCAGCCCCAGTCTAATTGAATCCCACTTTTTCTCTAAAGCTTATCCTGATCAATCTAGCTTGAAATGTCCTCCTCCTATCATGGGTGATATTTCTCTGCAGCTCTCGCTTGACTGTATTCCAAGCTGTCTTATGTTACAGTTATGTTTCAGTCTTATCACCTCCATTGGATTATAAGCCTCTGGAAAGCCTAGATAAGGGTATCTAATATTTCTCTTACCCCAAACAGTGTTCAGCTCAGCCATTCTTTTTGCACAATACATTCTTAATGGTGATTGCTTGAAGTTATTCATAAAGCATCCGGTTCTAAATGAAAGCTGGGTGGAGAAGTTTACAAATTTAAAATTTAAAAATAATAATAATTGAAGGCCAGGTGCGGTGGCTCACGCCTGTAATCCCAGCACTTTGGGAGGATGAGGCAAGCGGATCACCTGAGATCAGGAGTTCAAGATCAGCCTGGCCAATATGGTGAAACCCCGTCTCTACTAAAAATACAGAAATTAGCTGGGCGTGGTGGCGGGCACCTGTAATCCCAGCTACTCAGGAGGCTGAGGCAGGAGAATTGCTTGAATCCAGGAGACAGAGGTTTCAGTGAGCTGAGATCATGCCACTGAACTCCAGCCTGGGCAACACAGTGAGACTCTGTCTCAAAAATAATAATAATAATAATAATAGAAGTGCAAGCCCATCTACTTCTGGAAAATAGATTTTTTGACAAGAATTATTTTGATATGATTCACCAAAATATTAGTATCTGAACTCTTAGAAAAGTGGGCTCAACATGTGTACCCTCAAGAAGCCTAGGTCAGGTGATTTCACCATGCCCTCTTCTACACCTGAGCAGAGGAGAACTCGCCAAGGTCTAACATAATTGTTACACATTTACCCTTGTCCCACAGTGCTGCTTCTAAGAACCTATTCCAACAGTACACTGGCCGAAACAAAGATAATTGTAAGGTGCATAAACAAAAGTCCACAGCCCTCTCCATAAGAATGCTGGAAACAACCTAAATGCCTGTGGTGGGGAACTGATTGAATAGTCCAATGTACAATTATACTGGTTACTATCTTATCTGTTCCCATGTTCATAGCAGCATTATTCACAAGCACCAAAAGGAGGAAGCAACACAAATATCCATTGGTGGATGAATGGATAAACACAATGTGTGGTGTAGATAGACGCATACACACAGACACTGGAATATGACTCAACCCTTAAAAACAGGGAACTATTATTTGTGACGGGGATGAATCCGGAGGATATTATACTAAGTGAAATAAGTCAATCACCAAAAAAATAAAACAATACCAACTTTGGAGTATATTTGTTAAGAGTGAAAATGGAAGCTCATCTTCCTAATAGTCTGGTAAGTGCTACATAAGCTTAAGGGTTTTGTTACTTACAGTAAGTAGTTTCGAGTCTACTTCTGAAGCAATTGGTGTAGGGCTCCACCTAGACAATGCAGGCAGCAGGTCAGCCAGTCCTGGGCAGTCGTCGTGCCGGCTGAGTGGCTGGTGTGTGGGAAGACCATCCCACCATAGCCGTCTGCCTGGGGGAGCTCGTGGGGACTCAGGAACCTTCTGGGGGAGTGTAGGAGGGGGATTGCCACCCCTCATCCAGTCCTGGGTCTTCCAGCCAAAGTGTCAGTCCCTTAGCAGAGCCAGGAAGAGTTCCAGATAAACATTCACCAAATCCAGTCAGCTCTTCTCCCACCATAGCGTCTCCCCAAAGGCCTCCCTCTGCAAGCTCCCCCTAAAAGCCCCTTTGACATGACCTCTCAAGCATCCCCGCTTGTGGGGAGTGAGCAGGGAACAGACAGGGCTCTCTCCAGCCTGGCGCCAGACTCTGTCTCCTCCCTCCCAGGCCAGGACTCTTAAACCAGGCGCATTCGAATCACCTGCAGAACCTTAATAGCTGCATCCAGGCCCCACCCTCAGGACCCTGGCTTCATTGGTCAGGTGTGCAGCCTGAACCTCCAGAGCCGTAAAAGCTCCCAGGTGATTCTCATGAGCAGCCAGGGTGCCCGCCCTTCTAAGACCTCAGACTTAGGGCCTCCCCTCTCTAGGCCTCTGGTCCCTCATTTGCAAAATGAGCATTTGGTCGTAAGTGTTCTGGAAGCCGAGGTAATTTATAAGTTGATGGCATTCAGTAAATATTAACTATTTACTGGATGTGGGGCCCCGGCTTAGGACTAGGGACGGTGCAAAGATAAATAAGCTTTATTTGGCTGGGTGCAGTGGCTCACACCTGTAATCCCAGCATTTTGGGATGTGGAGGTGGGCAGATCATTTGAGGTCAGGAGTTCAAGGCCAATATGGCGAAACCCCGCCTCTACTAAAAATACAAAAATTAGCCAGCATGAGGGCACGTGCCTGTAGTGCCCCCATGGGAGGAGGAGGAGGCAGGAAAATCACTTGAACCCAGGAGGCAGAGATTGCAGTAGCCAAGATCATGCCACTGCACCCCAGCCTGGGTGAAAGAGCAAGATTCTGTCTCAAAAAATAAATAAGCTTTATTCTTTGCCCTATGCACACATGTGTATGTGTACACACACACTTTTCCTTCAAAAAAAAAAAAAAAAACAGTGTTTATGAAGCATTAGCTTCCAAATGTGAAGCCAACCAGACAGAAATGAAGAGGGCAAATAAACAAGAGAGGGCATCCTGTGCAAAGGCATAGCCGTGTGTCTGGTACAAAAATTTGGGTGCAGGCAGGCCTGAAGGCTTCCCAGACATATCTGGTGAGCCCAGAGCACCGACCCTGTTACCACCTTGTCCATTGCCCAGGGGCTAAGTAGGTGCTGTGGACAGTAGCTGGCAGTGCAATCTCCAGAAACCATTATGAAATGACAAACGACCACAGCCTGCTCCCTGTAACCATTTATATCCACCTTGCTGACAATGGGGATTTTCTATCCCATGGGCTGGCTGGAGAAAGGGCCCTTCTCTTCAACTCTTCATCCTGTAAGAT